TCCACTGGTTTGTGCATTTAGTGCCAGCTAGCTCACCCAAAAGAAACAGCCAGGCAGATCATCACATGGTTGGCAGGATGAGCAAGGCTTTTCCTCACATGATGCATGAGCAAGAAGCCCAGTGAGCTCTTTGCACAGCACTTGAAAGGGTGATGCTACCACGGCATGTGAGATGTCTCTATCCTTTCCTCTGGAGGCAAAGAGAAGACTTCAACAAAAACACGCTGAGCATCCTCAGAAACTTGCCCAGCCCAGAACACAGCTCCTTTGAGGACTAGGGCTCTGGAAAGTGAAAAATTACACGATGCTGACAAACTGACCTATTCAATTGGACTTTTTAACTGAGGGTCTCATCCTCCAGTTCCCCAACATCCAAGCATCAAAGGTCATTTAACCAGAACTACTGAAACTGGGCTGTAAACAGAGATCTGGAGAAGGAATAGGTTGGAGAGTATATACGGGTGGATGACCAGTGCATATAAACATACGCACACCCCATAGGGGAAACATCTGGGTCAGCACACCATCACCGCTGGCGTCCTGGCAGCAATTTATTTTGGAGCTGTCAGGAGGGTTGATGCTTTTCAGAATCTCCTTTCCTAAAATACATGAGCCCCGTGTATATGTATGTCTATATATATGTCTATATATACACTGTCCTCAATGTTTCACCTCCCTACGAAGTCTACGTGGTAACTGCCCTTGCCTAGCACCGAGGTTCACACCAAGGCTTGCTGAAACCACAGGCATGATTCTCCATCACGAACTACAAAGGACCATAGCTTAGCACATCCAGTCCAGGCCTTCCCAATTCTGGGGAGGGTTTCCTAAAGAAAGGTAAGGCAGGGAGCTGCTGCTCTGTGTACCTCCACTGTACTGTGGGCAGGCGATGTCCTCAGCACCTACCTGCCACGCTGGAAGGACCTTCTCTATATCATTCAAGTTGATGCTGTCTCCGTCCTCGTATTTCCCTTTTCCAAGCCTGTGTCAAGAAGAAAACAAACAAAACCACATGAAACCTTGCTGGAACCAAAGTTAATTTTCTCTTATGGCATATGGGGAAGATTAGTTCTTACTGCAAAAGACCCTCATGAAAACAAAGAGGCTTTCTGAAGTGAGTACGCTGTGCCTCCAAAACACTCCCATGTGGGTGTAATGCCATTAATACAAAATTAAATGCTTTTCCCAGCCCTCTCCACCTGCACCATCCACCATAGCATTCAAACACTTTTGGTAATAGCAGCAGTGAGAAAATCAAAGGCAGTTCTGAGCAGTAGCGTTGGGTGATTCAATTCCCAGAACAAGCAAAACCGAAAGCACAAGCCCATCTGGAAAAAAAAAAAAAAGGCAAAAAATGAGGATACAAAAATGTAATGAAAAATGTTTCCTTTGAAGTACTGCTCATTTGTTGGTCTCCACGGGAGCTCCTGTTTCCCTGCTGAGAAAGGTGTTGGTGAACAACCACAAACACACAACTCAGACAGCAATTGATATAAACACAAACACACGATTTGAAACGCAAAAACATTGGGTGAGAAGCCAAGCACCGACAGATCAAACACATAGCTGGCAGCTGAAGGACTTTCTGATACCAAGAAAGGGAAAAAAAAATCCAAATATAATTACTACCTAGATGCAGAGAGCTTGTAATGATACAGAAGAAGAAAAAATGAGTCAATAAATATAATCCTTCTGCACTTACGAACAATCAAGGTGATCTATTTTTATTATGGGAGAATGATAATGTATTTTTTTGGTCAACTAGTGACAAGATATTGTTAAATAACATATATTATCAGAAACTTTGACAACAGCAGGCCCAGGTAATCAGTGCCTACAAGTCAAGAACAACAGATTTTGGTGGAATCACAGCAGATGGGGAAAAAAAAAATCCAGAAAAATGGAATGTGCTGAAGTATCAGGCTCAAAAAGCAGCAACACTTAATTTAATTAACACCTTAATTGTTTTACGGGAAATCAGAGGTGTTCAATAATTGACTTTCCATCATAGATGAAAAAGCTACTTTGATTTACAAAGGTAAAAAAAGTGCATGTGTATATATAAAATACATATATATGAAAAAAAGATTTATATTTATATATACATGAGAAAGATCAAGTGAAACATCTGAGGACAAATAATACCAGTTGCAGGTACAGAACAGACAAGCATTTGGTAGGAAAAGGTTATCTGAAAAGGATGGGGACTGTCCCAGGGTGAACATCTGATGCTGGACTGTGGCATAAAGGCAGGGGATGAGGAGGCAGGGATTAGGGGGATGAAGGCAGCTTTCCTCTACAGGCAGCACGGCTGAGCCTGAACTACAGGGACCACAGGCAGCTCTGGCAGTCACGTTTCAAAGAGGTGGTAGGGAAGTTTAAGTCTCAGAGTACGGGAAAAACTAAAGTGATACACGGGCTTGGGAGACACCTGGAACGAAGAGAAAATACCAGCTACAAAAGGTTGTTTGAACTGGAAGAGCAAAAGCACGGCAAGAGCTAACGCTGGAAATGAAAGGCAGACAAATTCAGGTCAGAAACGAGACACAGTTCCCTGGTTTTCCTCAGCTGCTCCACTTGGAGTATTCAGCACACCACCAAACTCAGTACCTGCAAATAAAATTGACGTGTTTCTGGAGGAAAACGCTTCAGTCAAGCAAGAGACACTTGAGGTCAATCAACGGGATGCAGCTACAGGGCCAACCTTGGGCAAGTCATCAGATTAAGGAAGATAATGGTCTCTTACACTTAGAGCGTAGGAAACATCCTGAACAGCACCTTCCCCTTTTTTTCTATTAAATTTTCCATTCCATGTTAAAAAGCCCCACTGAAGCAAGAGGGAAAATGCCCAGCTAGCAGGTGGAGATTCTTGGAGGTTCAGCAAGCTGAATTGCTCTCAGCAATTTAGCACAGAACGCTGATGAATGCACAACAGAGACAGCTTTAAAAGTTAAAAAAATAAAACCAATTTCGTCTATGCTTCCTCTATTCTAGTGCAGGTTACCTATATGACCTGCATTTTGGGAGAGGTACTGCTTGTGCTGACAGCATCTGTTTAACTTTCCTGCATATATGGTAATTCTTATTTCATTTTTACAGCTGTAATATTTAGGAGTGATTAAATATCTCTTCTCCATACTGCCTCCTCTACCTGTTTGCACCCTGGGCATTCACAGTACAGCAGGAACTGGAGGCAGACCATAAAGCAGACCCTGCTGCATTCTCCCTATACGTAGCAGGTATCACCACAGGTAGGATCATCCAGCAAGTGCCATCAACCATGGAGCACATTACATCTTATTTTACAGAGGGAGCACATTGTATCTTATTTTACAGAGGGCCCTTCATCTCATTTTTCAAAACTACCTGTAGAAATGGGACTAAACATGACTAATGCTCTTATGACTTAGAAATTTTGCGTTACATTGTTCCAAATATTCTGAAAATTGGGAAGTCACCTGCAACCTCCTCAACCCCACCTTTTAGACCTGTTCTGATTTTTTTTTCCTTCCTCTACGGGCAGAAAATGACTAATGACTAGGAAAAAGAAAGACAAAAGTTTGATAGGATAAAATGTGGTTATTAGTGTTCTTGCTCTGTTTTTATTTTAGCAGAGATGTGCAGCGAGTTGCATCAGGGATGAGTTGAAGCTCTGTCACAACTTGGGATAACAGGACAGGTGATGCTGCCTGCAGCCCTGAAGAGTGCTGCCAGTGCATTAGGCACCAGCATGAAATGACAAGGAGAGGAAAAACCAAACTGTTGAGTCTTTCTCAATCTGCAGAGAATCTGCAGAGAAACAGGGATGTCCATCTAAGCAACATCAGTGAACCACTTGGTGCCAATATGCATTTACTTGGCTTGGCCAACCAACAACCAAAGAGGAATCCTGCAATACTGTGGAAGTCCCTGGAGGCTGTCACCACCAAAAGGGGCTGTTTAATGTTTTCATAGGTAGCAGATATTTTACTCCTGGTAGATAGGAGATGAACTTGGATCTACATACATCACGTTGATGCTTTCTTCTTCCCTGAAATCTTGCTGGGGAAGAAGAGCAGAAGCCTTGTCACTCAACAGGAAGTGTAACCGGATCAGCACTAAGCCAGAATCTTTCCTCCAATATTCAGAGATGTTTACATCTAGGAGATGTGGATCCAGGAGACTTGGATCCAATGTGGTTTAAAGACTGAACCCTACCAAGCAATACAAAAAACAGCGAGCAGCTCTGCTCCAGCCCAGAACTGGATGATGTCTGGAGCCAGACAAACTGAACGTGGCATCCTCAAACTCCATATGTGGTCCAGTGTCTCCTTCCCATGTCGTTCATATAAGCCATGCCACCAAGCTAGCATTCCTACAGCAAGGGAGAAGTTAGAGACCTTGCTGGAGAGCATGGTATCGCACGCATGGCACTCACCCTTCTCTGTCTATGTGAGGCAACGGGTGTTTGGAGGTGTTTCGCAGCTTCCTGTGAAATTGGGTGAAATCTAGTTTTTCAGGCTGCAAGTCCCACGTCGCACCACTAGGAGAGAAAAACAGGGAAAAACAAAGACAGAAAGTCCACTACTAATTAAACGCCACCAAGATGAAAAGCAGAGGGCACATCAGAGCCTGCAGACGAGGAAAGATGGTACTTCTGGAAGCACCACTCCCTGCCGCAAGGCACATGGATGCGGGCCTCCAACCTTCACGCTGCTGCATCACACGTTTCTTTTCATTTCTTCTGGTTTTCTGTGAGATGTCGAGCTCCTGTTGCTTGCACTAAACCCCTAGTTTTGATGTATGATGCAGCATGATGCAGCACACAGCCTGCCAGCTATAGAGCTACACTCTGTATCAAGGGGGTATTGCCAACAGGCAGTGGTCTGGTCCATGCAACGGAGACGTTCTCTCTGGTCCTGCACAAACTGCCTACTCCAATGGTCTGGAGCAAGTCCCAGGTAGGAACTCAGCCCCTGTAGACTCTTGCAGTGCTCCAGGCACAGAGAGTGATGCACAGAATTGGACAGAAAGCATATTTCACCACTTTCCCTGTGTTGAAGCAGCAGCTGAGGAGTCCTCCCAGCAGCTGTGAAGCCAAAATATGATCGCACCTCCAATTACTGGAAGAGTAAAATCCTGGAGCAGTAGCTCAGAGTTGCCTCAAGTCTTGCCTGCATGGCTCTTGGAGGATTCGCACCTTGAACACTGTGTTCAGTTTTGGGCCCCTCACTACAATAAAGATGCTGAGGTGCTGGAGCATGTCCAGAGAAGGGCAATGAAGCTGGTGAAGGGTCTGGAAAACAAGTGCTATGAGAAGTCACTGGGGGAACTGGGGTTGTTTAGTCTGGAGAAGAGGAGGCTCAGGGGAGACCTCATTGCTCTCTACAACTACCTGAAAGGAGGTTGTAGTGAGGTCGGTGTTGGTCTCTTCTCCCAGGTAGCTAGTGAGAGGACAAGAGGAAATGGGCTCAAGTTGCACCAGGGGAGCTTTAGATTAGATATCAGGAAAAACTTCTTTGCTGAAAGAGTGGTCAAACATTGGAACAAGTTGCCCAGGGAAGTGGTGGAGTCACCATGTTGGGAAGCATTCAAAAAACGTGTAGATTTCAGGACATGCTTTAGTGGGCATGGTGGTGTTGGGTTGACAGTGGGATTTGATGATTTTTAGAGGTCCTTTCCAACCTTAACGATTCTATGATTCTATTCTAAGTAACCATATCTGTACCCTTTTCAGATATTTGGACTGTAAACCCATCCAGGTGCCTCTCCTAAGCATGCAGGATGCTTTAAGCAGATTGATTGTGCCCAGTGCCACGGGCTAAATGGGGATGGGAAGGAGGAGCAGTGACGTGAGTACTGGAAGGGTACTCACCGGCACCTGGGTACCAGCAGGACGGACACGCGGGCAAAGCCTAAGACAGGGCACAGTCCATCTCTCTCTTAAAGCATTTTAAAACCAACTTACCTGAAGGAGTCAAAGGTGTTGGCAGCCCAGATGTCCGTGCCCAGCATGTCAAGGGAGCCCTCCTTGTTGCCATTCTAGGAGGGAGGGAAAGGCGGTTACTGGCCAGAAGGCACACGGCGCTATCCGGACCACGGCACAGCCCGGCACAGCCTCTCCTGCCGTCAGCCATGGAGGTGTCCCAACTCTGCACGTGGGCTCCTCCGCTCCTGTGTGAATCCACGCTCACTGCAATGCACAGTCCCCTTGCCCGCTGCAGAAGCACACCGTGAAGGCAAGGAGTGACACAGTTTCAGCCTTAGGGACACAAAGCTGTGGACAACACGGAGCACACAACACGTAGGCTCAGCTCTGACTCCAGCCTGTTCTTCTGCCCTACCATCCACAACCTCCAAGACCCACCAAGGTCCAGTGGGCAGGTTGACATCCCAGGCATGAAGACATCCAGTTTCAGAGTCACAGATCAGTTGAGATAGGAAGGGACCTCTGGAGCTCATCTGGTCCAACCCTCCTGCTCTAGCACGGCCACCTACAGCCAGGTGCCCAGGACCACGTCCAGCTGGCTTTTGAGTATCTCCAAGGACAGAGACACTCTTCACCAGCAGTTACCAGAGCCTGCTGTCACCAATAAGTATCGGGAAAGCTGTCACGCTACTTCAAGGAGCCACGGTGGTATGACTTTTCCTTGCTATAACAACAGACAGGGGACTTCAGAACCCTTCACCGTACCACCTCTGCCATGCACACCAGCAAATGAGTTCACATGGTTATTCTGGTACATGTCCCACCAGCACTAAGGTTCCTTTCCCTAAGAAGCAAGAGAATCATGGGATAATGAGGTGGGAATTATGAGAAACCTCCAGCAAACTGCAAAGCAACTTGGATTTTGCTGTGCAGCTGCATTTGGCTAACCAGTGACTCGAAGCAAGAGCATCGAAAGCAAAGACATCACCCCCAACCTTCATGGCCCCTTTATAATCATCGGCCTACACATGTCCTCCCCGCAGAAAGAGAACTGCCCTCTCCACCCTTGAAGAAGAAGTAAAGCAGGTTGGATTTTGCCAGGACCATTCAAGGAAGCAGACTTGACTCAGACTCATGCGGGCTGGACATGCAAATACATTACAAATAGGGAATTCCATATTACCAGTCTTCCCCTAACATTTCTTACACCTATTCAGATCATTCATAACCTTACATATATTCAGATTATTATTGCATTTCAGCCCAAATGGTCCCACTCTGGTGAAACAATTGTTGGAAAAGGTGACTTCCATATATTCCCCATTCTGTAATTTCTGCCATTTTCCAAAATTATTAATAATAACAACTGAGTAATAACAACTGAGACACTAAAAACTTATAAAAATGTGAGTACTTCTCAATGAAGTCCGAGACCTCAGCCTGCCCATGCAGTGAGCAATCTTCTCCCAATTAGTAGGACATGCATCCTTGGTGCACACTACGGATGGTTGGACTTTGCAGCCATTCCCAGCACGACCACCAGTTTAGACACCAGATACTCCAAATATGGCCACATTGCTCCTTTTTTTGTCTTCTCCATAGGGTCCATGGATCACAATTTTAACCTCCAGAAATTTGCAGATCAACATGTCTCTGCACAGAAACAAACTGCCAGAAATATATAAAATTCTCACGATCAATTGCAGAAGCTGAGATTTTTATTCTAGGCAAATGTGAGCAAAATTTTCTCACACCTAGGAGAGGAAGTAGTTTTCTAAATTCTTAGAACCATCTTCATGTCGTATAATGAAAATACACATGTGCAGGTCTTCATAGTTATCATCCAAAGAAGAGATATCTTTTTTATTTTAAGGTATCAAGGTATTAATTATTGACAGGTATTTTAAGTGCCTGTCAATGAGACAGCCACAACAGGATTTCCTAAGAGTGAAATATTTGAGTTCAGGGAGAAAGACTGGGAACATGTAACCAGTTGCAACGAGGCTGAGAAAAATCAGCAACAAAGATATTAAACAGCAAAAATTTAAGATAACGTGGGCTCCTAACGCAACAGGTTGTGTCCTAAAATTGTTGGCCAAATTCTGCTTGGTGCAGGACTTCTGAAGAGTCCCTTCTTGAGCCCTGAAACAAAGCACCTAGCCATCACCCTCTGAATACCAGCTTGAAATCTGTTTGGATGTGGAGGAAGAGCCTTGGCACCGACGCTTCCTAACCCATGGCATCAGCTCATCCATGATCTACCGGTGAGCACAGGTGGGTCAGCCCTGGCATTAATCCCAGTAATTACGGGAAATTGCAGCGATGCTTCCGGTGGTGCAGGAGGTCGGATGGGTGCAAGCTTTGAGGCACCAGTTGGATGCTCCCACCCAAGATGGGCTGCAACTCCTGCTTCTCTGGACAACGTCGCCATGACCCCTCGGAGATGCTCCAACCATTAGCCAGACTCCATAAAGACGTCACTGGGGCCAAATGATAACGTACCTTGTCATTAAGTCCTGAGTCACCACTGTCATTTCAAGACATCCTTTCGGTCTCAGATGACCTGTTTTTATAACCAGTTTCTGTCTCGACTCACACGGCAAGGAGAATGCTTGCTGCCTGAGCGAACCTGCGCTGCAGGGCGTTCACTAAAATGCTCACAGCATGGTACTGAGACTTAATAGTAAGACTTAAAAAAAGACAAATCTCAGGTCCAGGGACAAAAAAAAAAACACCTAATAAAATTGCATGTATTTAAAAAAATAAGTGATTTGCTGTCGGTTCCCCCAGGACTGCAATTATAATCATAGGCAGTTTTAACGTGAAGCTCCCCGTGATCCAACCCTCAGCTTTAGATAATCATTTTCACCACGAAGGGGTTACTACTGCTGAAAATTAATTAAGCTGCTAGGAATGACGATTCAGAGACACACTGATAAGAACAACTTAAACACCCAGAACGATCAGAGATGCGGGAAAGTCGATCCTACACCCAGGATGGTTTAAGTGCACATCCATAACCTCTGTCCTCCAGCCCGTGTGAGCACACATCATCTCCATCCACCCAACCCCTGCAGCTGCCCACACAAACAGAGGGACTGACCACGCCACCGGCCGCGTGGACTCTGACTGTTTACCCATGCATGCAGCTTCAGCAAATTCCCGGCAAAGTCGGCGTTTGCGTGCACGCAGCAGCTTTTCAAAGCCCAGCTCAGCGTCCCACCGGTTCCTCTCACCGCTCCTCGTTACCATCCTCCAGCAAACCACTACAAATGCCAAATCATGCTCTTCGTTGCACGATTGCAACGGCGTTAGCTCATCACTAGCATTATGCAGAACAACGTGAAGTGGTCAGCTAAGTCCGTGGTGGGAAGTCAAGAATTAAAGTCATGTTTTACCTCTTTTACATTTTTCAGTTCTATATTTGAGAAAATTCCCTCCTGAGCTGCCTACCACTCCTGGCTGCACTTTGGTAGAAAACTAAAAAGATAAACACCAAACTGTCTGAGAAGGCTCTGATTAAAGGTTTTCCTGTTGAAAACTGCAAGTTCTCATAAGAAAAATACAGACATTTTGAGGAAGACATTATTATCCCTGCTTAAAGAAAAACGGTTATGTTGAGACTTATTCCTCCCAGAAAGGACCATCACTTTCCAGCAATGACATGGTTCTGTAGGTCCTCTTCCACCACAGCATGGCTCAGGAGGACAGACTGTTTCCTCAAGCTCTCCAGGCTGGATGAAATGGATGCATGGACCAGGACTCTCACCACTGGCCCCTCATCTCCCAGAGTCTGTCCTCCACTTCTGACACAACTAATGCTCATGTGTGCAGAAGCAAAGCAACCCCAAGAGGAGAGTGGACAATGGAAGCTGACTAAAGCACGCAGAAGAGGTCCCTGGTCTGAGCTCAAGCAAGGAACAGAGAACTAAACGGGAACTAAAACCAAATCAAAAGCAAACTCTCAATATCTTTTGCAGGGCATGAAGGTATCTCCCCACCTAGCCCTGCTGATGGCTCCCACAGAAAGCAGCTGGACTCAAGGACACCATTTAGATGGTATCCACTCACACACCAACTTCTAATGAAGACTTGCCAAAAAGTAATTACAGACATCTCTTAATTTCCCAAAATTAAAATATCCCAACTTCAAATAAAGAGAAAGAAAACTAATTTCCTTTGCACTAAACCAACCGACTAGGGACTTCTTTTCCAATATTAAGGCACTCAGCACACTTCAACAGATGTCTTGAGGCTGGAGGACAGCTACAGCCCTCAGCAGCCAGGTCACATATTATGCATGAATTAAGCAGGTCTCCGAGGCGTCCTTCATAATGGACATCCTACGTGTAGACACGCACACAAAACACATCGTTAGGAGGACGCCTCCGATAAACAGCAAGCAAAGGACACGACTTCAGCACGTCGCTACCAGGTATACCTTGGTCGATTGCCTGAACTGGCTGCTTCTCCCGCGGCTGCCAGACCTGGATCCAGACCCACGCCTGGAGCCTGACCCCGGCCGGGATCCTGTGCTCCCACTGCTGCTGTGATCCCACTCTTCCTGGAAACAACAAACAGCTTGCTTTAGTCAAGGGCAACGCTGTCCCACACCCACAAAAAACACCGAGGTGGGCCTGTGAGAACTTCATGAAGTTCAACAAAGCCAAGTGCAAGGTCCTGCATGTGGGTCGGGGCAATCCCAAGCACAAGTACAGGCTGGGTGGAGAATGGATTGAGAGCAGCCCTGAGGAAAAGGACTTGGGGGTGGTGGTTGAGGAGAAGCTCATGATGAGCCGGCAACGTGCACTGGCAGCCCAGAAAGCCAACCGTGTTCTGGGCTGCATCCAAAGCAGCGTGGGCAGCAGGTCGAGGGAGAGGATTCTGCCCCTCTGCTCTGCTCTCCTGAGAACCCCCTGCAGTGCTGCCTTCAGCTCTGGGGTCCCCAACATGAGAAGGACATGGAGCTATTGGAGCAGGTCCAGAGAAGGCCATGAAGATGATCCGAGGGCTGGAGCACCTCTGCTATGGAGACAGGCTGAGACAGTTGGGGCTGTTCAGCCTGGAGAAGAGAAGGCTCCGGGGTGATCTTATCGCAGCCTTCCAGTACCTAAAGGGGCTCCAAGA